CTAAAGTTCTTTGGATTTATTAACACTATACTCAGTAACATTCTTCACCTTGCTCCCTTGGGTACACATACTCCCTTGAGCTGTGACAGGAGGAACTAGCAGCATCCCAAGTGTTTGGAAAAAATGGAGATGAGAGAAAACATCCTTGAAGAATGGGGTTTGGTCTAGCCAATCTTCGGTAAAATAGTTAGCTAATTGTACCCTCAAATTCAGAGCCAACTTCAGTATTACACCAAAGAATGCCTTCATTTCTTCTGATGAAACATCCTTTTTTTTTTTTTTTTCTGAGACAGGGTCTCACTATGCTGTCCTAGTCACAGCTCACAGCAACCTCCAACTCTTGGGCTTAAGTGATATAAGATCTTGCCTCAGCCTCCAAAGTAGCTGGGACTACAGACACTCGCTACAAAGCCCAGCTATTTGTTTGTTGCAGTTGTTTAGCTGACCTGGGCTGCATTGGAACCTACCACCCACAGTATATGTGGCTTGCTCTGTAACAACTGTGCAATGGGCACTGAGCTGAAACATCCTTCTGATACAGGGTGGATGGTGTTCCAGCCAGCTCTGCCTAGCTGAGGGAAGGACCTGCTGCCTCCACCCTGGTGGTATTAATGCAGTGGCAGCTGGCAGAGGAAAGAGTAGGTTGTATGGTAGGCAGGGGGAGCCCAGCAGGAGGCTCCAGTAGCCAGAGGGACCAGACAACTGCTGGGAAGATACCAGGCCCTTAGTGTCTCCCTTCCCTTGCACTTGGCTGAACAGAGAAACCCCCATTTCCCAGGTGTGGTCAATTTTATGTAGGTTTCCTAGGCCTGGGAACAAAACGGATTGTATCCATTCTTCTGTTGCCAAGTCCTGGCCTAATGTAACTACAAAGGACCCATGCATACTTATGCATATTTGTCTATATGTATACCTAGACAAAGAACCCAGGCAGAGAAGGGAGATTTTTTCCCCACTTGGGTTTTTGTCTCTGCCAGGAGCTCTGGTGTTTTTTCTCTGTATTCTTTTCTGTAAAATAAAAGAATAAAGGATTTTCAGGTAAAATCCTATCTTACCATTGACCTGTGGTCCATGGATTCATTCTTCGAATCACCAAGACCAAGGACCTACTGAAGAAGAAATTCTGGTATCACCTCTACAAGTGCCACATTGAATATTTTGTTAGAGGAGTCACCTTCTGTATTTTTTTCTTCTGCATACATATTTGTCACAGCCATAATTTCAATGAAATCATCAGAGAAAAAGGTGGAAATACTCAAGTTCAGTTTCTGGCCAAGCACTTTGAATAAGGGTGAATCCTTGTTGCGTGACACAGTATGAACTTTATGAGATCATCATCACCATCACCACAAACCTTCCAGCTATGTGTTACCGGGTGAGTATTATAGTCACTTTCTTCTTCACCGCAACTTTAGGTTCACTGGAACCGGCGCACAGGGAGGGCGTCATGCTCACTTTTGTCACTAAACTCTCCTTCAAGCTTATTGTCCTCAAAACTCCACGTTGCAATATCATTGTCACTTACATGCCTCCTCCCTGCCATTTTCCTTCAAACACAACTGGGGAGTACAATGCATGATCCCCTGTTACATCACACCATGGCCTGAGGAGAAACAGAGCACAATTTGCGCTATTGGCTACAGTCCTTCCTTACTATATAAGAAAATGCATCAGACAGGCTCCAACAGCAAAGCAGCTGACCAAACCACAAATAAATGCATCAGACTCTTTTGACATTAGAGTGGAACTGGAAAATCATGATGTTGGACACAGTCCAACACTGGATCAGAAAGAGAGGCCACCCGAAAGGAAGATGTGGGAAGAGGCGGTAACTGCTTAAGTCTTTGACTAGGTCAGTGGTTGTCAACCTTCCTAATGCCATAACCTTTTAATACAGTTCCTCATTTTGTGGTGACCCCAACCATAAAATTATTTTCGTTGCTACTTCATAACTGTAATTTTGCTACTGTTATGAATTGTAACCTAAATATCTGATATGCAGAATGGTCTTAGGTGACCCCTGTGAAAGGGTCATTTAACCCTCAAAGGAGTCGCGACCCAAAGGCTGAGAACCACTGGCCTAGGTGGCAGGAGGACAAATGACAACTAATGTTTATGGAGAAAATACTCTGGGCACTGTTGTGACTGACAGATAGGCGAGGCTCCCAGGAGAACAGGTGGGTCAACACGGTTCTGGAGGGGATGGTCCCCCTCTTACAGCCTGTTCAGCCCACACTTTATTTGCAGACCAGATAGTCACTACTCAGGGGTTTGTCAAAGTGTCTTTATTTTGGTATCTTTTGGAACATCTGAGGCACTGAGAGGAAATTTGCAGTCAGACTGGAGGTCTGATGCCTCTCTTGACAGGCTTGCTGAAGCCAACATTCCACATTCCCTTCCTTCTGTCATTGGTCTGTAGAGACTGCTCAGGTGGTAACCCTTCAAATCCCACTCCAAAATTCCTCAGAAGGGAATTTTCTGCACGGACATTGCATGCACAAGTTCCAGGAAGCCACGTTACATAATAAATTAACAAAGATGATTGTGACCTTTTATTCTCCATGAACCTGAGCTTGGACTAATGAGGGACATGAGAGGCAGCCTCTCATGCAGCCAGCACAGGCCTGAAGCACCATCAGAGAGAAGGTCTCATCAGCAGAATGTCCAGTCATTGGAGCCCAGCTGGGGGATGGGTAAGTGTGCAGGCCCAGAGCAAAATATACCCATGGGGAGTTTTCTTGGCAATAAGTCAAGCCTAGATTAATCCTCAGGCTTGTTTTCACCTCTGCCCTGGGGGTCCTTGTCATCCTGGCTTCTTTCTGCCCTGAATGCCTCCTGGAGTGACCAAGGCAGTGGAGCCCCCAGACCCATCTCCTTCAGAAGTTGCCCTGATCCCTCAGTAGCAGGTGGCCATGGGCAGCACTGCATGTCTGTCGTTTGTACCTATGAACAGGTGGCTGTACTGTAGCTAGTTAGGTCCCTGTCTCATCTTCCCAGCTGGGCAGCAAGGTCTTCACAGTGTGGACATCTGTGTCGGATCCATCTCTGGGAGCCCAGGTGGCCAGCATGTGGGCTGCCCAGAGAGTAAAACCACAGGTGCAGAGGCAGGAGGTGTGATGCATCTGTGGCAAACTGGACGACTCAGTGTGTGTAGTGGGAAGGGCGGGCTGGGGCAGGTGAAAAGTCAGTGGGGGCCAGGACATGGAGGGACCTGAAAGCCCACTGAGGAACTGGGATTTGCCCTGAAGGGGTGAGAGCCAGGGGGGGATTTAAGGGTAGCAACACTGGCTGACCACTAATGATTCTGTGAAGCACAAAGAAATTCCATCCTAAGGAAAGGGGACCCACAAGACTTCCACCCTGTCCCCAGCCCCTTCTTTCTTTCCCTGGTCCTGCATTCTTGGGGTGCAAGAGAGTCATCTCCCTCACTATTATAGTGATCACAAGCTTCTGCAGGTTAAAGGCTGTGCACACCATGTGGCCTGTCCATGCACAGGGCCGGGGCTTCCTGGACATTCCTTAGGTTTCTTAGGACCTCATGAGGCAGCTCCTTCATGGGTGTCTGAAACCACAGATCCATGCCTGCCATGGAAATACCAGGGCCCTGGGAAGCTGGAACTTGTCTTAGGAAAACCACCCTTCCCATCCACCACCCTCCACTCCTCTGGGCTGCAATCTCTTGGGATACATCTTCTCTCTGACCCACAGAGGGGGGTTGTCTGGCTGGCCCAGAAGCACCCTGTCACCTCTGACTGGTTAATGGCCCACACCTCACTCAGGCCTCTTAGAGGGACCCCTCCATGCCAATGTCATAAAAAGGAGAAAAGATCACAGAGGAAAGTTCAAGTTCAGTCAGAGACACAGCAGGACAAGTGGCTCCCTAAGGTGCTTTGGGGACTAGTCTGGTCACTCTCTGAGTCACAATACAATCTGGGTCACAGGACTTTGTTATCCTATTCAGGATAATCAACACAGGCCAGCAGGACCTAAAGTCTCCATTGGTCCTTCTAAAGATGTCAACCAGGTAATGTTAGGTAATTGGTCCTTCTAAAGATGTCAACCAGGTAATGCATAGGTGTGTGTGTCCCTGTCCTGCACACAGCCCAGAGCTTCCAGTGGGTGTTGCTGTTGTGGTGACCTTGATAGTTCGATCAAGTCCCCTTTCCATTGAGTGTTTCTGATTAACTCTAAGTACTACACTGCTCTTGCTGCCTAAACCAGGGAGTGTGCAGCCCCAGGTGTGCAGGGAGGATGCAAAGCAGCAAAATACCCAGGCCCCAGCTTTCTGGAATGAGGTTTATTTGTACTGATTTGAAAGAAACAAGAATTGACTGAGAACCATCTCCCCTCCCCCACAACCATGGAAGAAAAGGAGGAAAAGAGCAGGGAGGGGACAAGTGCCCAGGAGTTACAGTCTAGAATCAGAGGTTGCCCCAGTAGAGGCTCCAGACTGTGCTTCAGCTTGGTCTGCTGTGGCGAGGAGGCCTCTGCAGGCTACTTCTTGTCCGGCTCCCCCATGGCTGGGAGTCCACGCCTGGCTGACCTCCCACCGGGTTTCAGGATCCCAGGAGCTCAGGGCCCTCTTGCTCTCTAATCTAAAGGAAGGAGACATTTGTAGTGGACTCTCTCAGGTATTTTGAAATGTGATATACATTCTCATTTACTCTGGTCACCCTTGCTGTGCCATAGATGTCAGGGCCCTGTGACCAAGTCCCCATACCCTCCCTCTGCTACCACCCCCTGTCACCATCAAACTACTGCTAGGAAGTCAGCTTTTCAGAGGCAACACACAAGTGACATCATGCTACATCTGCCTGTGGTGATGGCTATGTTAATTAGTTTTATGTCCACATTCCACATAATGCATGTATACGTGAACTTCACATTGTACCCCATACATGTGTACAGCTATGACATATCTGTTGAAAATAAAATCAGTAAGACCATAAGAAATAAAATCCAGGAAATGTGGTTTGACTGCCTCATATACTTGCCTGCTGTTTCTGCCTCAGGTCTCCTCAGTGGTCACAGGTACAAGTTTGTTGACCTAGTGTGCAGCAGATCTCTTCAGCCAGCTGAAGGCAGCACATTTTCAAAATGAAATTCAAAATCTTCCTAGTGCACCCTTGCCAGCCCTGGCCCGCTTCAGTGGGGGTGTCCTCTTTTGCCTGCCCAGCCAGGAGAGAGTATGGTCTTTCCTGGATCTTCCTTGAGCTCTGGTGTCTCTTCCTGGGCCTCCCCTAAGGCTGCTGATGCTGGGGGAGGGGAAGGACACAGGGCCAGGCTGGGTGGCACAACTGAGACTAAGAATTTCTGGTGGGGTGGCGGTTTTCTCCGGCATTTGTGGCTTCATGCTGTCTTGCCTAGACTTCATCCATGGGTCTTCCATTATCTGGCAGAGGGTGGACCTCTCCATGGGGTCAGGAGTCAGGATTGTTTTGAGAAAGCTTTTCAATTCTTTGGAAAAGAAAAGAGGTGTTGCATAGGTGGCATTTATGACCTTGGTTTTTAGTTTGTTCAAGGTCTATCCGTGAAATTGGGGGGGTCCCTGCCATCACTGTATAGAGGATGACCCCAAAGCTCCACATATCCACCTCTGGTCCCTTGTATTCCTGTCATAGGAAGATTTTGGGGGCTAAATACTAGGTGTTTAACCTCTTACCTTCAGGGAAGGTTGTGGTGAGGCCAAAGTTGGCTAGTTTCACGTTATTCTGTGCATCAAGTAAAATGTTGTGGGGCTTCAGATCCCTGTGTACGATGCCCTCTTGATGAAGGTACTCAACAGCTTTTAATATCTGAAGGAATATGACTCAGGCTTCCCCCTCCTCCATCTGGCCAAATCTCCATATTCTCCGAACAACGTCTTTGCCACCTGCATGCTCCATTATTAGATATACATTGTCCTTATCCTCAGTGACATCCAACAGCTTGATGATGTTGGGATGGTCCAGGCAGGCTTTTCATGATATTGATCTCTGAAGAGACAGATATGAAACCAGAAACACTGTCTTTGGAGATGATCTTGACTGCCACCTTAGTCCCAGTTGGAAGATGGTGGGCCAGCATCACTCTGGTGAAGGTGCCTGGCCAATGGTGGTTAACAGCTGGTAGTCTTGGAGGACCTCCTTGTCTAAAGATGGGGAGGCCATGCCAGACTTCATGTGTACCCTAACTACTCTAACACTACGGACTAACTCTACAAACTATGCTAAATAACTAATCAACAATAACAACTGTACTAACTAGGCTAAGAACACTAACAAAATTATTCTAACTAGGCTAAGAATACTAATAAATACTAACCAGGCTAAGAATACTAAGAATAGTAACTATACGAACCATACTAACAATACTAATAAATAATACTAACTAGGCTAAGAATACTATTTATACTATGCTAACATTACTAACATATAATACTAACTACACTATACTAACAAAGTAAGTACACTCTAGCTATGGTCAAAGTCTACAGGTTACCAAAAGCAGCTTCCTGGGCTATAAGAACCAAAGACCCAGACCCAGACAGGGGCTGATACAAGTTTTAGCCTCAATGTTTTTTTTTTCTTTTCTTTTTTTAAAAATGAGTTCAGAGCAAGAAACGGATCAGTCATAGCTGGGGATAACATACAGTGGTTTTTTCTTTTGTTCCTTTTTTTGGGTCCCAAAACATTTTCCTCTTTAAAGAGAACAAGTGCTCCTTGTTATAGAGATTGATATTTTATCAGAAATTTAAAGCTGTTCTGTAAAATGCTTCAGTGGCCTTTCCTTTATAGTTTGAAAATCTGTAATAACTTGAGGCTTTTAAAGACCTCATCATGTCTGCACTTGAAATATTTGATTTCTTTTTCTTTAAATTCTTTTTTTAAAAAAGAAATCTTTTTAAAGATTTCCCCTCTATATTATTTTTAAGTAGGATATTTTTTTTCTTGAGATGGAGTGTTATTCTGTCATGCTGGATTGAGTGGGTGACTTGGCATCATCTTAGCTCACAGCCACCTCAAACTCCTGGGCCAAGGAGCTGCAACTACAGGTGCCTACCACAATGCTTGGCTAGCTTTTCTATTTTTAGTAGAGACAGGGTCTTGCTCTTGCTCAGGCTGGTCTCAAATCCTGAGCTCAACCTATCTATCCATCTCAGCCTCTCAGAGTGCTAGGGTTATAGGCATGAGCCACCATGCCCACTTCTTTTTCTTTAAATTCTACTTGGTGTCAGAATGATGCTATAAATAGGTGCCATAATGATACCAGACAAATGTGTTCTGTGGAGTGTCACACTCAATAAGGTCCATTATTAACATCTAGAGAGCTGCTAGGAAAATAACTCTCATCATAATTTCCCCACACAATTGACATCAGATTGGTAATCAGAAACATTGGAGGCCAGAAGTTAGTGAGTTTAAATATTCAAAAGAGAGAGAGGGAGAGGGAGAGGGAGAGGGAGAGGGAGAGACCTGTCATCCAAGAATCTAACATCCAACAAACTATGCTTCAAAAATGAGGGAGAAATTAAGACATTGCTTAATTTGCTGGATAACCAAAGCGAACTACTTTTAGACCTGCCCTACAACAAAAGGAATCCCTCTGGTTGAAAAGAAAGGACACTAGACTGGAACTCAAAGCTTGATGAAGAAATAAAGATGTCTGGTAAAGGTAAATACATGGATAATTATAGAATCTACCATAGTACTATTTTTGTTTTAAACATGATTTAAGAACTAATGTATCAAAAAAGCCTATTATTGGTGAAATTTTTGAACACACAATACATACACATATAATCTGGTGACACCAGTAACTGAAAGAGTAATTAGACAAGAGAATGAAATAAAAGGCATTCAAATTGAAGAGAAAGGTGTAAAGTGATCGGTTTGCAAATGACATGATCTCATATGTAGAAAATACTTCAGATTCCACAAAAGAACTATAAGAACCAAAGCAAATTTAGCAAAGCCTCAGGCATATGGAATCTCAAGGGACTGCAAATAAACAAAGCAATCTTGAAAAAGTGCAAACTTGGAAGTCTTACACTTCCTGATTTCAAAACTCATTATAAGCTCAAGTGTTCAAAACAGGTTGATATTGGCACAGACAGACTTTAGAATGGAATAGAGTACTGAGGCCAGAAATAAACCTGCTCGTGGATGAAAAATGATTTTACAAGGGTATCATAACCATCAAGTGAGGAATGGACAATCTGCAAACGGTACTGGGATGACCAGACATCCACATGCAAGAGAATGAAGTTGGACCCTGACATAACACCATACACAAAAATTAACTCACAACTGGGCAGCACCTGTGGCTCAAAGGAGTAGTGCGCCAGCCCCATATACTGAAGGTGGTGTGTTCAAACCCAGCCCCAACCAAAAACTGCAAAATAAATAAATAAATAAATAAAAATTAACTCACAATAATTGAAGACTTAAATGTTAAGGGCTAAAATATAAAACTCCTGGAAGAAACCATAGGAGGAAAGCTTCAGGATAGTGGATTTGTCATTGATTTTTTGCCTATAACACCAAAAGTGCAGACTACAAATTAATAGTAGGTAAACAGGACCACATCAAAATCTAAAACCTCTGTGTACTAAAGGACATAATTGAGTCAAAGACAAGCTATGGAATGGGAGATAATACTTACATATCATATAATAGTCACATCTAGAATATATAGAGAACTACTATATTTTGACAAAATAAAACAACCCCATTAAACAATGTGTGAAGGACTTTTCTCCAGAGGTGATATGCAGAAGGCCAACACACTCATAAAAAGATGTTGAATATTACTAATCAGAGCAAAACCACAATGAAAAACCACTTTATACTCCTTAGGATGGCTACTATTCAGACAACAACAGAAAACAGTAAGTGTTGGTGAAGATGTGGATAAATTAGAACTCTTGTGTACTGGTGGAGGGAAAATGTATAATGGTGTCACCACTATTGAAAATAGTATGGTGGGCCAGGTGTGGTGGCTCCTGCATATAATTCTAGCTTTCTGGGAGGCCAAGGTCTGTGAATTGCTTGAGCGAGGAGTTCAAGACCAGACTGAGCAAAGCAAGACCCCATCTCTACTAAAAATAGAAAACCTAGCCAGGTTTGTGATGGACGCCTATAGTACTAGCAACTTGAGAAGCTGAAGCAAGAGGATCATTGAAGTCCAAGAGTTCAAGGTTGCTGTGAGCTATGATGCCACAGCACTCTACCTAGGGCAAAAGAGACTCTGTCTCAAAAAAAAAAAAAAAAAAAAAAAGAGAAGAGATGAGAAAAGAAAAGAGTATGGTGGTTCCTCAAAGAGTTAATAAAGGATTACCATGTGATCCAGCAATTCCACATCTGGGTATATACACAAGGGTATCGAAAGCACAATCTCAAAGAGATTATTGGTTATTAGTCCACCCACATTCATAGCATTGTTATTTACAATAGCCAAAAGGTGGAAGCAACCCAAGTGTTCATCAGTGATGAATGTATAAACCAAATGTAGTCTATACATACAATGGAATGTTATTCAACCTTAGAAAGGAAAGAGATTCTGACACATGCTACCATGTGGATAAAGTTTGGGGACATTGTACTAAGCCAGTTTTAAAAGGTAAATATTGTCTAATTGCACTTACATGAGGTATCTAGAGTAGTCAAATTTATGGACACAGGAAGTAGAAGGTGGTTGTGGTGGGGAAGGGTGGGAATTAGGGAGTTATTGTTTATTGGGTAGAGTTTCAGAGTTAGGAGTTGTGTAGATAAATAGTGGTGATAATCACATCACAGTGTGAATATACTTCATGCCTCTGAACTGTACACTTAAAAAGTGCAAAGGGGGAGATTTTACATTATGCGTATTTTATCAGAATCAAATAAAGTTTTAAAAATATAACTAAACAATTGATGGAAAATAAAAGAAGGGATGTGGGGCAACTGTTAGTAGTAGTTTCAATTGATGGAAACACTTTGAGAAAGGTATTTGGCAATAACAACGCATGCCCCATGGCCTAGGAGTCTCACCTTTAGGTACACAACCAACAGAAATTCCTAATTGTGTCCTGGAAAGGAGGGCGCCCAGATGTTTGTAGCAGCCCTGTGGATCAGAGCCCCAGACCGTAAGGAATGGAAATGTGCACAGAAGCATGGGTCAGTGTACTGCCCTGTTTCCAAACAATGGCATAATATATGGAAATGTGCACAAGGATGTGCAATGTGTAACAGATGAGGAAGCTCGTGAACAATATGGAGCTGAGGAAGCCAGATACAGAAGAGCTTAACTACAGCATCAAGCAAAATTAGGCTTGTACTAGTAGAAGTCAGGGTAATGGTTTTCCTTGGGAGAAGGGTCTAGACTTTGGATGGGTCTCCAGGAGCCTTCTGTGGTGCTGATAATCTGTTTCCTGATCTGGATGCTGGATAGAGGGTGTGTTCATAATGTGGGAAAAAATGGTTGTAAATTGTTTGCTCCTGTGAAGTATACTTAAATTGAAAATTTTTACATTAAAAACATCAGACTGCCTATCAAGTCTGGATGAAAGAGGGGCCCTCAGCCTGTCTTGCCTTTTTCACCCAGGGCAAGTTCACAGTGACCATGTGGTCCTCCCTTGGTGCAGGGAGGCTGCTACTAGGCTCTAAGTTCTAAGCTCTGCAATGGCATCAAGGTAAGAGCCGAGGCCCAGGGCTCTAGCACACTCCTGGTGAGCTACAATCCTGCCATGGCCACCTGAGTGCCAGATTGCCATCGCTGTCTACCTGTCCCTCAAGGTGAGCCAGGGCCCTGCCTCTCCCCCCACCCACTCTGCCCACTCCTTTCCTGATGCAAATTATTCATTTGCTCTGACAAATTTGAAAGAAAATCCCAATTGTTCAGAACAGCTTTTGGCATGACTCCCTCTGCTTGGCAGGGTACTGACCTGCCCAGCTGTCCTGACCAAGGCAGGAGTGTGGGCTTCAAAGGCTTAGAAATGTTTCTGACGGGGGTCAGGACAGAGGGGTGCTTCTGGTCCACTCCAGTCCCCTTCAGAATCCTCATACAGTCCCAGAACTGGGACAGTGGCCTTTTGTGTGTTAAGGTTCCAGGGCCTCCTGAGACCTGGGTCTGGGGTATTCTGCACCTTGTCTGATGTCTGGGAATCCCTCTTCCCATCTGAGGAGGGAGGTGGCCATGGCATGTCCAGTGTGGAGCACACGAAATCAGCTCCACACCAGCCCTGAGTCTACATTCCAGTCTGCTTTACAGCAGCTCTGTGCTCTGGCTCATTTAACTTTTCTGGGCCTCATGGTCCCCACCTGTAAAATGGGGCTGAGACCTCAGTTACCTCATAGGCTATGGTGAGAATTACTGAGCTAATAAACGGAGTAGGTGTAGAAAGCAGCCTGGGAGGCAGTGAGTGTCAGTCAGTAAACTTGACTAAACCTGGGCCTCCTCCCAAAGGTGGTTGTGGAGGCTTTGCACGAGGGCTGCCACACAGCAGCCTGGTGAATGGACCTGCTCTTCCTGTGTCTGAACCCTGCCTCATCCACAAAAGGCCCAGAGCAGGTGAGCTTGTGGGAGTTCCTGCTCCTGGGGGAGCCCCCAAGCTCCTGGCTGGGCCAGGCAGCCTTCACATTTCCTGCCACCAAGGGTCAGGCAGTGCTGGTCCCCACAGTGTGTGTTATTTGTTTCTCCCTCTGTCCCATTAGAGGCCAGCTCAATGACCTTAGGACCTTCATCTTTGTACCTGTAGCCCTGGGCATAGTGCCTTATACAGGGCAGACATTCCTGTGAGCAGAGTTCCCGGATAGATTAGGAGAGAGTGGCCCAGAAGCACAAGTGTAACCAGCTCCATAAGTAAGAAAACACTTTTGTTTTTGTAGTTCTCATGTTTCAAATTCCCAAGCCAGTAAGAATTGCTGAGCAGAACTTTGTAACTTTCTGTGGCCCTGATGCATTTCCCTTTTGAGTTTCTTTCCCAGAAATGGCGGAACATCCTTGTTGCCATGAGATCAGTACAGAGCCTTCTACCACCTATGCGGAGGGAAAAGGCAAGATAAGTGATGCACCACCATAGATTGTGCCCAAGGACCCACAGAGCCTACACACAAGGCTGAAAGAATGACCAGTATTAATTCCTAGCTCTTGATAATACTAAAATCCTCACCCTGCGAGGGACTTATCCATTTCTTTTCGTAAGATGTATGTACTAGTGTGATTACTCACTGTGCCTGCATGTCCTGTGCTCCACCCCAAACCCATAATGCTGTCTACTCCCCTCATGCATTATTTTCACCTCTGGAAAACCCCCTCACCCTGTTGGCCGAGGAGGTGGATTTGAGGCAGTTCATACCTGCCTGCTCTGAGTAGATGCGTAATAAATGCTTTCTTGCTTGATAATCCTCCTTGTCTCAGCAACTGGTTTTCTGTTTGATGAACAACAAAGAACCCCTGTTGGTTTTGTTAACATAAGGACCTTGGGCAGTATGAGCTGGGCACTAGGGAAGTCTTCAGGGGTCCTAGAGGTAAAGAGGGTCCCTACAGAAATGGGCCTCTCCCCTATGGGGAGGTGCAGCTCACAGCTGGTGAGGGAGAGGCTGGGCAGGACAGTCCTGTCTCTGGTTTGATCATTTGGTATTTCATCAAACTTCCAAACTTGGACATGCCCTTCCTAGGTTAGGGAAGAATTGGACACAGATCTCCTGCACAAAAAGAGGAAGAAAAAGCCCCTCCCCGCCGGGGGGGGCGGTAATTCCAATTTCAGGGAGCCTGTGGACATAAGATCTCTCTTCTGCAAATGCCAATCTTTAACACTAAGCACCAGACCCTCCCTCCTTAGGCAGTGTTGGTCCAGACCTGCCCAGTGTGCTGTGCTCTGCCTACTGGCCTGGCCTCTGACGTTATGACCACAATTGTGAGCCGCTGCTCTGGGCCAGCTCGGTGCCTGGAACATGGTCAGTTCTGAACAACTTAGGGCCATTGTGTACCATCAGTGGCAACACTCCCTGTGGGCAGTGTGGGATGGGGGTGCATTGGAGTCCTTCACAGGAAAAGAGATCTGATGGGCACCATAGAGTCTCTGAGTAGCATCTTGCTGAGTGCTTTTTTTCATTGTGAAATTCTGTGAAAAAGTTACTTCTAGCCCTGGTTAAGTCCCTGCTTCTAGTGACTTTTTGTTGTTGTTGTTCAGAGACAAGGTCCTGTTTGTTGCTCAGGCTGCGGTGCAGTGACACTATCATAGCTCACTGCACCCTCCACCTCTCATGCTAGAACCATCTTCCTACCTCTAGCCAGTAGCTGGGACTACAGGCATGCATGATCCCTCCTGGCTAATTGTTAAATTTTTGTAGAGACAGGATCTTGCTATGTTGCCAGGCTGGTCTGAAAGTCCCAGTTTCAAGTGATCTCTCACATCAGCTTCCCAAAGTGTTGGGACTGTAGGTATGAGCCATGTGCCTGTACAGTTCTTGAGAGTTTTGACCTCAAGTCTGGGGACCTGGACTTCCTCCAGCTGCTTAATCTGTTCCTAATATTTGTGATCTCTGGTCTATGTTTACACGAGACCCCCTTGCTAAATGACTCCTTCCTTCTTCACTGTGTGTATCTGCTGCTACCCCATGCTCATAGGCCTCGGGTTCCAGAAAAACCAACTTAGAGCCTGCTTTGTTCTCTAAGCATGGCTGAAGGTGGTGGGCAAGGTCAGGTGAGCTTCCCCTGCCGGCCTCTGGCTGACCACTGAGGTAAAGCAACTGCTAGGAGTAGCTCCTATGATCCCTCCTACTGGCATTCACACCCTTCTAGAATCTCCATTTCTTTTGTGTGAGCTGGATCTAGGGGTCTCTGCAAGCTCATGTGGATCCCAAGTATAATCTGCTAACGTGGCTCCAGAGGCCAGTGGGGTCACCCTTAGTCCCAGGAAGGACTTGTGACACTGCCTGCAAGGACTTTCCCAGGGTGGACACCCACCAGCAGGTGCTTCTAGTGAATAGAATTTGGCAGAAGTTATGAAATGTTCTTTCCAAGTTTGGGCTCTAAGACTGTGACTCCCATCTTACACTCTTCTTTACCCTTTGCTTGCTTGTTGGGTAGAGACTGCCCCTCTCAGGACCGGCCAGTTCTTAGAGACCACAAAGGGGTCAGCCTGGAGTGTGACTCTCCTGCATGCACTGACCAATCCAGAGCTACACCTGCAGAGTCTGGCCAGTACTATATTCCTCTGCCTTAATCCTCCCTCCAGCTAGTCCAGGTACCAGACAACTAGGGGCCACCCCTGCAGCTGACAGCCTGCTGGAGTTATTCAGACTAGCCAGTTCTCACCATACCCTGTCTTGCCTTTTCCAAGGAAATCCCAATAAAGGCTCTAACCTAGGCTTTCCCATGCCTGTGATCTCCTGGAAGCTTCCATGTGTGGCCCCTTGTAGTATGGAATGCCTCTTGTTTCTCATACCTGTGAGTCTAATAAATCTGTTGTCTTGACACTCTTCTGTGTCCCTTCTGTGGCCTCAGCTGAGTGACCATCACATAAAAGAACACACTTAGAAACACTCATATGTGGTTTTGAAGATGTAATTTAGGTCATCATTTTATACCATATCTATAGCTTGAAATAGCTTGCTCCTCATTTTGTTTGCCTTTCAGAAACTAAATATCCTTTAAGGTCCAGTAAAAAATGCCACTTTTTTAGGTGGAGTTTCCCCAGATCTGTTCAGTCAAATAAATTATTCTTCCCAATGAACTAGCCAGCCTATTACTAGTTAGAACTTATTTTGTTCTTCATTTATTACATTTAAGTCAGCTGGCTTGGCGCCTGTGGCTCAAGTGGCTAAGGCGCTAGCCACATAACCTAAGATGATGGGTTCGAATCCAGCCCAGGGCCCTCTGAACAACAATGACGGCTGCAACCAAAAAATAGCCGGGCGTTGTGGCGGGCGCCCGTGGTCCCAGCTACTTGGGAGGCCGAGGCAGGAGATTTGCTTGAGCCCAGGAGTTGGAGGTTGCTGTGAGCTGTAATGCCATAGCACTCTACCCAGGGGGACAACTTGAAGCTCTGTCTCAGTTTCCTCCTCCCAGAACTCTCTCTGTGTCATGTGTCTATAAAACTTTATATCATATGGTAACATTTTCCCCAGATCATTAAAAACTGGCCAGGAATAGATTTTTCATAAATTAATCATAATCTAATTAATTATTCTCCTATTATTGGCTATTCTTTTTATTTTTTTGAGACAGAGTCTCACTATGCCACCCTTGGTAGAGTGCCATGGCATCATAGCTTACAGCAACCTCCAACTCTTGGGCTTCAGTGATTCTCTTGCCTCAGTCTCCCATGTAGCTGGGACTACAGCACCTGCCACAATGCCAGGCTATTTTTTTGTTGCAGTTGTCATTGTTATTTTAGCTGGCCCAGGCAGGGTTCGAATCTGCTAGCTCCAGCCTGCTAACCACCGAGCAATGGGTGTCAAGCCAATTTGTTGGCTATTCTTATTGCCATATTCTTTTCTGTGATGAGTAATGCTACCAAGATGTGTATGTAAACTTTCATCCACATCACTGTTTACTTCCTAGGGGACTGTTTTCTAGAAGTGGACTTACAACTGCACAAAACTCTGGTTCTAGATGACTGCGGAGGCCCTGGATTTGTCTCTGGATCTGCAGAATCTAGCTCAGAGCCTGACACAGAGTAGAGCCCCTTGAGTAATCATCATATTATGGAAAAGCCTTCATAAAGGCTGCAGGACCATTGTTTTGAGACTTCTAATGTTTGTTTCCAGGTGCGACTTCTCATTGGAGAACTGCTACTCTTCAGCTTGTGACATCTGACTGGTGGGGAAAAGTGTGCACAGACTTTAGCATGCATCAGAACCACTGGGAGTCTCATTAAAATACAGGCTCTGGGCTCCAGGCCCAGGGATTCTGAATCAGGAGGTCTGGGGCAGGGCCGGGAGCCTGCATTTCTAACTAGCTCCTAAGTGATGCTGAGGCTCCTGGTCCCTGGGCTGCATGTACTGTAGCACTGGAGCAGGTGACATCTGCCACGCTTTGGTCTGTTCTCCACCAGCCTCTTTGAGTACCTCCCCCTCCCCACCTTGTGTGGTTGGGTGGGGCTGCCAACCAAGGGTGCCCAGACACCTCTGCACAAGGGTGGGGATGTGTAGTCTTGGTCAGAGAACCAGTGAGAGGTCTATGGGTTGGTATGTGACGTGGATAGGGACATTCAGAGTGCATTTGCAGGGATTAAGGTGGATAAGGAATGAGAAAGGAAATGTCCCATTTGAGTTTGGACATAGAGAAGATCAAGTGAGCCTGGAGACTTCCTGAGAATGAAGTTAGCAGAGCCAAGGAAATGTAGGGAGATAGTCTCCTCAGGGTGGAGTTTGAGCCCTGTGTCTATTCATACCTTGGACTTCCTAGAAAGGGCCCTGATACACTCCTCTTTTGCTTAAGCTTGTTTGAATTGGGATTTAGTCTTTTAGAATTTGAAGAGATCTAATTCAGGATTTCTATGACTTGGAATGTGGGAGGGTGCAAATGTGGACATTAGCAAAAATTGCCTGTTCACAGATGTCTCTCTGTAAAATCAAGAGGACTCTCAGTATAACCTGCTGGCATCATTCCTGGGACCATGTGCTAACCCTTCAGCTCAGAAAGGAATGCAACACTGCCTGTAAAGACTTTGATCAGGGGGATACTTGTCGGCAGAGCTCTCTGCAGATGTGTTGTCAGCTCAGTTTTCTGCCATATCTCAGGCTTGCTCAAAAGTACCTATGTATGATGTCCACTAATTAAAGTCATGATTTCATCCTAGAAAATGGGCTACATACCTCATTGCAGAATATCACTACAGTCACCTTCAAATTACTCTCTTTGGGAAGCTTTGCACCAACAGCAGTGCCTACTTCACTCTTCAAAACAATTCTGGAACTCTTTTTTCTGGAATGGCCATCAAATATGTCATCATATTACCTTTGATGTCCTGAATGTCATCAAAATGTCTTCCTTTTTTTATTTACTTTACCTTTGGAAAAAG